ACACACAAATCATGCCAGCCACTCCCTACTTTATAAACCCTAAACTATTTCTCAAAATCAGGCACATGTTCCCACTAGTTCATCCTTACCTCCTGCCTCCAATCATATCTATGGGGCATGTAGATACTTGTTCATGCATTTCTACTCATATAAATAAAGTATTATGCATACAAAGTCCCCTCCTTGCCCATAAGGAATAAGACCACTGTGGGATTTGCTTTCACAAGCCCAACATGTTGTTTCAAATATTATCAGGGTACGAACAACTTTCTCCTACAAGGGGAGGGGGGAGTTGACTTTTGGAAACAGCCAAGGGTCATTAAATCTGGTGACTGATGTGTGTTAAAGTCAGCTGAGATGAACAGCAAAGATATTTCCTGAAGAGACGTTCCCACAATTTGGGGGACTGATAAGGCTGCACTTTCATGTCCAGCATTTACTGGCTATAAACAGGGTCATATTTGTCAAAAATCAGCATGGTTCACACTCAAGTATGTGCAAATACAATGATCCTGCTCTGTGCACTATGGAGTCAGCTGACCTTTCTCTCCCCTGGTAAAAATAACAGGAGCGGGTCCACGTGCCAGGCAGGAGAGACACAGTGGTGACAGGGCAGACATGGGCACAGTGGGGAGCTGGTGGTAGGGGTGACCGGCTCTACCAGTATTTGAATTTTCATAAGCACGTTCATGAGCTACTTGTATAATCAAAAGGCAATAAGATGTTTGAAAGTCAGGCTGAATGCAGAAAGCTCAGATAACCTGAATGTCCTCATCCTCAAGGCCAGATTTCCTCCACCTGCTCTGGTAACAACCACCAGTATGTATTGCTCACTGTTATGCCAGCTACTACTCTGAGCACGTTGCTTGTATTGAACTCATTTACTCCTCACAATCTCCCCATGAGATGGGTAGTCATCGTCACACAGCTAAGGAGGGGCAAAGCAGAGTGCAAGGTCAGGGTTAACTTTTCCAAATCTGCAGGCGGGTCACCCATAAAGAGGTTTGCATTCTGAATAGTGTCACAGACCTGGCTCCAAGCTGGTGCTTAAAGCAATTCTGATCAACTGTATGGCTTGCTCCCCAACCCCATCACTACAGGGGAGGGAGGTGCCCCCACCTGCATGGACTCTGTGCTGGCAAGACAGCATTGGAGCCAAAGTTCCTTCCTCAGCCCCCATGCTCTCGTGTCTCAGCCCCCATGCTACAGGGGCTGAAGGGCTAGGGCTTCCAAAAGCCTCATGCTAAATGGATGGGGGATCCTAGATTGGATCCTGGAACGGAAAAGGGACATTAGTGGAAAAACCAGTGAAATCTGAATAAAGTCTGGAGTTTAGTTCATAGCAATGTGCCATTTTGGTTTCTTAATTTTGACAAACATACCATGGTATTCTGTCCTGTAACATTGGGGGAAACCGGGTGGAGGGGTATTTGGGAACTCTGTACCATGTCTGCAAATTTATAGACAAGGATCAGATCCCTCTCCTGGCCTCAGCCCTGCCCATCAACGATGGCACAGCTGGCAACTCACAGCTGCCTGCCATCCTGCCTCTGTGGCCCCCCTCGAGGGCTGCCTGGCCAAGGGCACCTGTTTGCCCAACACTGGAACTCTAAGCAGACACAAGAGCCTGTGCCTTAACTGTTATTCCAAACTGCCTCTCACCTCCTAGGGGCCAAATCCTTTCTTTCCCTATGAATCCTAAGGAGGATCTTAGCATAGAGCCAGCTGCCTCAGAAATCAAAATGAGATTACGTACCATTATAAGCTGGATCCACAGCTTATAAGCTTGGCTCGTATGGGAAACCCAAAGCAAACGAACACATTTTCTATATCAATAACACTATTGACTTAATTCCATAGCCAACCATAATTTGGACACTCGAAGTTATATAAACGTCAGTAACCAGATGTCATAGATTCTCTTTACTTACCGTTTCAATTGTCTTGCTTATTTGCTTCTGAATTTCCATAAGCATCTCCACACCCTGTAAGCAGAATAAACATGATCTTCCACAACGGCAGTCTAGAAGTTTTAAATATAAAAATGTTCACCACACACGGCTGTTCCTAACTCAGAATGTTTGTAGGGTCCCTGACAAGGTCTATGACATCACAAGATTAAATGCTAATCGTTAGCCCTCAGGTTCCCGTCCATCAAACATGAATGAGAGGCTCTTCCTCCTCAGTATCCTCTCTTCGTTGTCCAGAGCTGGCTGGTTCAGATGGTTGGATCAAGTTCACTTCGTTCTATTTCACGGTCTCTTGACGGGACCTTCTTGCACTACACGTCACAGGTCACAAAGGGATTCTGCATGATAGTGTTTGAGTTCCTGTAAACCCAGGGTCATTTAAAAAGTGGGAAAGCCTATTCTGATGACAGTGGGATCTGCATATGAAGGCAGATAAAGAACGGTGGGCCAGTGCTCTGGTACCCACACCGCACACCCAGTCTTCACTACAGGAAAGATCCCGGCACCAGGATCTGAACTTGATCTGACAGACGGTGAGCCAGAGATAAAGCCTAGTTTTCTCCAACTGACAAATTGGGAGGCAATGGTTATTCTCTTTAAAAAAGAATTCTTTACCACAAACCGTCTTGGGGTTTAAAAAAAAATGATTTTTTCACTGTATCACTGTATTAGCAGAGGGGATGGAGCTTCCTGTACTTTCTCCCTAAACATCCCCTATAGAACATGAACACTGAGTTCTCCCCAATGCCTACTTAGTAGAATACTTCATGAGTATTTAAACCTAGCTGGTTTGGCTCAGTGGATAGAGCGTCAGCCCAAGGACCGAAGGGTCCTGGGTTCGATTCCGGTCAAGGGCACATAACTCAATCCTTGGGTATTAACCAAAATAAAAATTTAAAAAAAGGATATTGACTCAGCCAAGACATGAAGAACAATATAGACACTAGCACACCGCTAAGTAGTAAAAATGCAACTTAGGGTTCCTTCATTCCATATTCCATAAACATGCACTAACCCTCTCTTATGTGCCTGGCAATCTGCCATCTCTCATCTTTGGGCCCTGGAGTTTCTAACTCAGCAGAATGGGCTGCTAGGAAAGTGCCAGCTCCCTCTTGTTGCTGCTGGAGTGTACAGACCAGATAGCTCAGCTCTCCCAGGAGAAGGCCTGCATGGTTACATGCAAGTGGCTCCCCTGTGAGCCACTAGCATGAGTCAGCGCTGTAATGAACCAGAGATCCCAGGTGGTCAAACTGTGTTCCTGTTTCTTGGAGGTTTTGCTTTCTTCCCCTTTCCCTAATGTGTTAAAATGTTTTTTCTCATTTTACATTTAATTCCCTCTCCTTTGGAGTCATAAGTCTGGGGACCTACACTTAAAAACACATTGATGATAGAGTATATCTTTTTTTAGAAAAAGTAGCCTGAGATAATGTAAGGTACTTGTTTAGCCATTAATCCAGGATGGGGTATACAGATCACTTCTTTCATTAAATTCAGCTTCCCAGGCGATGACTTCCCACAGCTGACCAGAGATACCATTAGCAAAGGAATAGTTAGCTTTGCTGGCTGTTCCTGAAATGGGAGAAAAGCAAGAGGAAATGAGAAACATGGTCCCTTCATACTGAGATGCCCGGGCTCCTGGTGATGGAATGTGATGGAGACTAACCTGATGGTGCTTCAGGGATGCGATATGGAAGTACAGAGGGTTACTGTCCAGCACGGCAATGGTTTTGGCGACAGCTAGTGACACAGCCCCTATGGCCATGCTGCCACAGAGCACAGGTTCAACAGGCTCTGGAGGTGGGAGAGGTTTCTCTGTGATAGTACTCTTCCGACCTGGAGGGAAAAACATTGATAACAGATTCCTTTTTAGGAAGTTTGACTCTAAGAAAACTATTAAACTATTTTTTGAAGGCTTTACTTTACAGATACAAAAGCTCAGCATAAAGAAAGGTTGAAAACTGAGGCTGGAAATAACATATTCTCCACCTCAACCCCCAACAAGTTATCTGTTTGACTTCATTTACCACTCCCCAATGCTCAGTCCTTAGGCATGGATTTTGCCTCTCTAAGAAATTTGTAGAACATCCAATATGGGCAGATATTGTTATCCCACATTCCCATATAACAAAACTAGGGCTTAGAGATGTCAAAAGATTTGCCCAATATTTGTCAGAAAGTTCAAAAAGAGAGGACTCCAAATCCTTTGTTTTTCTCTATACTACCACAGCTCTTGTATACCCAGCTTGATGTTGAACATCTCTTCATGCATATATCTATACTAGAGGCCCGGCGCACAAAAATCTGTGCACTTGCGGGGGGCCCCTCAGTCCAGCCTGTGCCCTCTCGCAGTTGGGCAACCCTCAGGGGATGTCCACCTGCTGGCTTAGGCCCGCTCCCTGGGGGATTGGGCCTAAGCTGGCAGTCAGACATCCCTCTGTCAGCCTGGGAGCCCTCGGGGGATGTCCACTTGCCAGCGGGGAGCAGGCCTAAGCTGCAGTCGGACATCCTTAGTGCTGCTGAGGAGACGGGAGAGGCTCCCGCCACCACCGCTGTGCTGGCAACCGTCAGCCTGGCTTGTGGCTGAGCAGAGCTCCCCCTGTGGGAGCGCACTGACCATCAGGGATCAGCTCCTGCATTGAGCGTCTGCCCCCTGGTGGCCAATGTGTGTCATAGTGACCAGTCATTCCCAGTTGTTCTGCTTTTAGGGTCAATTTGCATATTACCCTTTTATTATATAGGATATCTTTCTCACCAGCCCCCAGCCAATGCCTTTTTCTTTTAGAAATGCCTTCAGATCCAATCATCCAACCAGAATCCTTCATCTTTCACTCTCATAAGTTCTCGGCCACCCAGGCTGAGCAGGTACCACTGAGTCCATCATTAGTCTCTTGTGTCCTCCTGTCCTTCTTTTCCCCAGAGCTACTTGGGTCAAGCAGGTAAGATAAGTGGAGTAAGATGTAAGCACCTAGCGCACAGTAAATGTTTAACAAGTTACTGTCCCCTCTGACTTCTTCCCTTCTCTTGTGTTCCAAGTTCTATCAGTCAAAAGCAACCACCAAATGAATATCCATTGATGGTCTCTACATGTAATTTCAGTAGTGGCTGTCCTCGCCCTCCCAAGAGATTGGTCTAACATATTTTTTTTGTCCAAGGCAATTCTCCCCCCCCCCCCCCCCCCCCCCCCCTCAGCATCTGAATCTGTGAAATAAGAGACTTTGTCTCCACGGTCTCTTTGGTCCCTTTCTGGTTCTGGTGCTTTTTAACTCAATGGAACCCACATTAAGTGGGTATTTAGTTTGCACTTGGCATCATGCTAGGCACTGGCAGTGCTAAAGTGAACAAAGCATGGTTCATGCCCTCAAGGAGCGTGTTCTAGCTGGACAGATATACAGAATACTGTTACAATACAAGCAGCAGCTCCAGAATTCACTTACTGGAGGGACTGTTGGAAGGCATGGAACAAAGGGCCATGATGACTTCGATTATTTGTTTTACAATAGCAAAGTGTCCCAAATACATTGTTTATTAACATGTTACATAGGACTGAGAAAATGTTGGTTATCTTTAAAATATGGAGTGGCTTCCTGATGAACTAATGGAAATGTTGAGGGGCAGTTAAAGGTCCCCCATGCCACCTTCCCCTTCCCTGTCTCCGGCATTGCCACACCATTCAGTGCACTTTGTGTATTTCGTAAATGCTCACCTCTGGGTAAGAACCATGTTCATCTTACAAAAATAAGTTAATAAATGAACGGAGGGTGAGATGGGGTAAAACCCTGACAGCCCAACATAGAAGCTTCAAGCAAGGAAGTGGCATGGAGGATGGATGGTACCTGCTGGTAGCCCAACCTAGGGCTATAGCTAAGAGACTCTACCTCAACAGGGCAGTCTGAGCTTCAGTCTTTTTTCCTCACATGTTTGTTACTAAAGGTTCTGCAAGATGATAAGCCGCTGACCTTGCTTCTGTCCTTTTTTTTTGGCCGGAGGTGGAGGAGGAGGAGTTGTTGGTGGTGGTGGCATCAGAGAGGAAGATATGTGTACAGCTGAGTTTTCCAGGCTCTTTTCCAATTCTTCTCCCTCCTTATCTTCTTGCACTTTATTTTCAAAGAATGTCCTTAATGGAAAATATGGCGGTAGAGGGGCATATTTAGGGATATCCCTTGTAGTTTTGGTCATGTTTTAGTGCTGACCCCAATATGTTTTAATAATTAACTCTGCTTTTTAGCTACTTAAGAACAATCAGCTTCAATTTCCAAGGCCAAAATATAATGGCGCTATTATGAAACAGTATTCAAGAACTGAAATTAATTTTGGCCTGGAAATAAATGTTTAAAGATTTCAGCCTTGTTTTTAAATTATTTGAGATTTGATTCTATTTGTAAAGTAAATTTGAAGATGTAATTTGATTAAGGGCTATTGAATTTTCTTTTTCAATAAATGACCGTCAGAAGAAAAAAATGAGTCAAGAATAGAAAATGAAGTATATAGCACTATGTGCAGGACTTCTTTTTTTGGAGGGTGGGGCTTAAAAAACTTTGAGGAAATCTCACTTAGACACATCTATATAAAATTTCAGTCACACAGAAGAAAAGAGGCTAAAAGTTCCCGTAGACAAAAAAAGCATCAATAAGTCAACAAAGACAGGGGAATCTGATTTGCATTAGACTAATTAATAATCCAGACGCCGGTGGGGCAGTGATGTTAAAGTGCTGAGAGAAATTGATTTTAAACAAGAATTCTATACTCAGCTAAACTGTCAACCATGAGAGCAAAGTGCTGACATTTTCACACATGTAAGAACTCAAAAACTTTACATCCTTTTCTCATTCTTACTTTTAAAAGATATAATCCAGAGCAGCAAGAGAAAGAGTCTCAATTACCTACAAGGGAATACCCATACGACTGTTAGCTGATTTCTCAACAGAAACTTTGCAGGCCAGAAGGGAATGGCAAGAAATATTCAAAGTGCTGAATACCAAGAACCTACAACCAAGAATACTTTATCCAGCAAAGCTATCATTCAGAATTGAAGGTCAGATAAAGAGCTTCACAGATAAGGAAAAGCTAAAGGAGTTCATCACCACCAAACCAGTATTATATGAAATGCTGAAAGGTATCCTTTAAGAAGAGGAAGAAGAAGAAAAAGGTAAAGATACAAATTATGAACAACAAACATGCATCTATCAACAAGTGAATCTAAGAATCAAGTGAATAAATAACCTGATGTACAGAATGAACTGGCGATTATAATTATGTGCAATTTAGCAGGGGATGAAGCTTAGAGAAACAGAATCCAGTTGACCTTCGTATGGCCAAGAGATGGTGGCATTGGACCTGCACAAAAGGAAAAGTAATGCTAGCCTCCACTTCACTGGGCACTGGACAATACTCACAAAGCCCCACTAAACAGTCCCTTGGTTTTCACATTTCGGAGTCAACCGATGGGCAAGGTATGGAAGACCTGCTTGTGTCTGGAGGACAGAAAATAAGCATCACTCATTCATTGTGATTATATGGAAGGCTATGGGATGCTCAATGAGGGTATATGAGGAGGTGGGGAGAGGGAGGGAGGGGACATCAACTCCAATCTTTATTCTGTTCCTGAGAATCTTTTTACTGAATCCGAAGGAAGTTCTATGCACGAAAAGAGGTTGGAAGTCCTTATGTAGCCTTACACAGCAAAATTTTAATAGTGGTTTTCAGAAGAACAGCAACATTTTATGCTAAAGTTTGCTGCTTTAGCATAGGCTTCTTAACTGACTAACTGCTGTATCCTATGGATATGAGAGACCTGTTTTATTGACAGGTGAATGGAAAGGAAACATATATATTTATACCACACACTGACATTTCTTTCTTTCTTTTTTTAATCCTCACCCGAGGATATTTTTCCATTGATTTTTAGGGAGAGTGGAAGAGAGAGGGAAAGACAGAGAGAAACATCGATGTGAGAGAAACACATCAATTGGATGTCTCCTGCAGGAGCCGACCCAGGGCTCGGCCGGGGAGGAGCCTGCAACCAAGTTACTAGTACCTGCCTTTGACCTTGACTGGAATCAAACCCTAGACCTTTTGGCCCACAGACTAATGCTCTATCAACTGAGCCAAACCGGCTAGTTCCATGAATTTTAAGAGCAGAGAGGTTTGGGGAAAATCTTTAAACAATGAGTAGATAATTTTATTTTTTTAATCCTCACCCAAGGATATGTTTTTGTGGGTTTTTTTTAACTGATTTTTTTTTTTACTTTAAAAAATGTTTTTATTGATATTAGAGAGAGAGAGGAAGGAGAGGGATAGAGAGACAGAAACATCAATGAGAGAGAGAAACATCAATTGGCTGCCTCCTGTGTGCCCACTACTGGGGATCAAGCTGGCAACACAGGCATGTGGCTTGACAGGGAATTGATCTGGTGACCTCTTGTTCATGGGTCGATGCTCAGTGAACCCATGAACAATAGGATATTTTTCCATTGAATTTTAAAGAGAAAGTGGAAGAGAGAGGGAAAGACAAAGAGAAATATCGATGTGAGAGAAACACATTGATTGGTTGCCTCCTGCACATGCCCCGACCGGGGCTCAGGCTGGGAAGGAACCTGCAACCGAGGTATGTGCCTTTGACGGGGATCGAACCCAGGACGCTTCGGTCTGCAGGCCGATGCTCTATCCACTGAGCCAAACCGGCTAGGACTGCACACTTACATTTCAAAGTGGAAGACTTGCCTGAGCACCTGGTCCACCTCAGCCTGGTTGGAGGGCTCTAGGCCCTGAAGCTCCTGGGTGATGTTTTCGTTGACCCACTGCACAGCAATGCTGACGGCATCCAACCTCTCTGCTTCCATCACTTCAGCTAGCTCGGGCACAGCGTTCTCGTAGACTTCGAAGTGAGTCGCCATCATCACAGAACAAATGTACTGAAAAGAATACAACGTGTTCTACAATTTCTCTACCTCTTGCAGAAAATGGGAGATGTATCTGGCTTTTGATGTGCATATTTTATCCCTACTTTCAAAGGGAAAATGAGGATATATAATTTTCCTTGAGGTATTTTTACAGCTACTGAAAGGTCAGGATACCACACCTAACTTATCTTTAAAAGGTCATTCACAGTTACTCTAGTTTCTAACAAACTCACTCTATATCTACTATGGAACACAACTTCATGGGGACATTTAAAATTATTGCCTTGTTAAAATCCCCTTAGGCCCTGGCTAGTGTTGCTCCGTGGTTAGAATGTGGAACCACGCATGGAAGGGTCGCAGGTTTGATTCCTGGTCCAGGGCACATACCTGGTTGCAGGTTCGATCCCCAGCCCCAGTTGGGCCAGCCAATCGATGTGTCTTTTTTTCTCTCTCTCTCTTCCCCCCTCCCTCCTTCCCTTCCACTCTCTCTAAAAATCAATGGAAAAAAATATCCTTGGTTGAGAATTAGCAGCAGCAACAACAACAAAATCCCCTTAGAAAAACCTTATATTTAAGTTCATTTTTATCACTAGCTCTCCAATAAATAGCGAAAAGTATACAAACAGATTTAATCATAATTATTTTCCTTCCAGAAACTGTAGCAAAATTGCTTCTAACAATGCATAGGAATTACTAAAATGTAGCAATTAAAATGAATTATTAAAATTATGAAAATGCAGCCTGACCGGTTTGGCTCAGTGGATAGAGCGTCGGCCTGCGGACTGGGGGGTCCCAGGTTCGATTCCGGTCAAGGGCATGTACCTTGGTTGCGGGCACATCCCCAGTGGGGGGTGTGCAGGAGGCAGCTGATTGATATTTCTCTCTCATGGATGTTTCTAACTCTCTATCCCTCTCCCTTCCTCTCTGTAAAAAATCAATAAAATATATTTAAAAAATAAATAAAATAAAA